GGGAGGGATACTGGGATTCGTGGTGGTGGGAAATGGACACTGGTTGAGGGATAGGTATTTGATCACTGTATAATTGAAACCCAAGCACAAAAATCTGTAAGTCTAAAACTGTACCTCATGGTGTCTCACTAATAAAAATTTTTAAAAAGAGTATTAGTATATAAGAAACAGAAGCTGCTTTATTTGATTTTTGGGGGCAGTGGGAAGGGCAAACCTAGTGCTCAAGGACTATGAGCTACCAGCTCATGGGATCATGTAGTGACTGGAATCAGGTCTGAGAAAAATGTGCACATTAGCCTATGAACTATCTGCCTTTCCCATTTTGGGTGATTTAATTTTACTCTGTTGATGTTATAATTTATTTGGGAAGAAGGTTTGGTGAAGAGAGCAATACCCTGTGGTGCTCAGGGGACCATATGTGCTGTTAGAGATTGAATCAGTGTCTGTGGAAGTGGCCCATGCAAGACAATTGCTTTACATACTGTACATACTTACATACTATCTTTCTGCCTCACCCCTTCACCACAAATTTTTGGGCCACCACACCCTGCAGTGCTTAGGGGCTACTCCTTATTCTTAGCTTAGTGTTGGATTAGTTCTAAGCATTTTAAGAAGTAACAGTGAAGTTCCATCAGTTTGTTCTTTCTCCCCACACCCCCTCAGGGAGAGTAGGCTTATTGCATTACATCCACAGTAATGCTCCTTGAGGAACACCCAATTTCATCAGGGCACTCACAATTCTGTGTTTATCCTTAACCTCTTCCCTTCTCTATCAGTCATAAATATCTTCAAATCAGACACTGTAACTTGTAAAGTCATATAGTGACTATGGATTTTGCATATGTAAGTGAAATATTGTTTTTCTCTTTCCTTTATGTCCTTTTCATTGTTCATCCTAGAGCAATGTCCTTTTTATAAATACACAGGAAGACAGTTAACGCTATGCTTTTGTAACACGGGAATTAATTGATTCCAAATAATATATATTTTTTGCTTTTGGGACCACACCCAGTGATGCTCAGTGGTTACTCCTGGTTCTGCACTCAGGAATTACTCCTGGTGGTGCTCAGGGGACCACATGTGATGCCGGGGAGCGAACCTGAGTCAGCCGTGTGTAAGGCAAACACATGACCCGCTGTACTTTCTCTCTGGCCCCAATTCCAAATAATATTTACTCCTGGACATCGTCATATTTATTTGACTTAAGCTTTGGTTGCCCTAAGTTTCTGACACCCCCAAAAGGAGGTCCACCCAAGGGACTGAATGGACCCAGGGCAAGCCGTAAGCTTCTCTGGCTTTAAATAAGTGACAGGCTAAGCACCATAAGAAGTATAATAAATTTAGAGTATGGTCATGGAACAAACTGACATGACCGAAAAAGAAGTGACTGAATAAGGACCCTGTTGGGGTTAGGAAAAGCTATCATGGCCTGATGATTGTAGTCTGGGATATATAGCGAGATGTCCTTAGGAAAAGCTACCCTTTAAGCTTAGTTTATCTCTTTTTGTGTTCATACAAAATAACTAAAAAGATTATTAAAAAGCTATACCTTATGGTGTCTCACTAATAAAAACTAAAAAAAATTTTAAAAAGTAAAATTAATATGATTGTTTAAATGGATTACTATGGATAACATTGGTTTTCCCTTCCTTCCTGGCCACCGTGAGCTTGTGTTTGTTGACTGCCCCCTAACCTGTCAATTACCTTTGTCTCCTGATCAGACCCTGACTTCTAAATATTGTCTTTCTCTTCTCCTTAATGTCCTTTGCATGCTTCGCTATTTCAGAGCAATTGCTTTTTGTATGGATGGAGAAAGACAGTTAAAAAGACAAGCCTGTGGCTTTGGAGTTGATTGACTCCAGACAATATTATCTCCTGGACATCTGCTTTCTTGACTTAAGCCTCAGTTGCACTTACTTCCTAGATTCCCAAAAGCAGGGTCCCAACAAGGGACTGGATGGACCCAGGGCAAGCGGTTAGCTAGCTACCCTGGCATCAAAATGGGCCTGGTCAAAGTGCCATGATGCTTAACTATAAGATCTTGGTCATGGACAAATTCTCTCATGATCCAAAAAGTAATAGCTAGATTTGTCCCTGCTGGGCTTAGGAATGATTGATCCAGCCAGAGCACTGTAGTCTAAGACTGTGGTGAGATGTCCCCAGGAGAGTCACCCTATAAGTCTAAAAGTGTTTATTACTGTGTCCACACAGAATGGTAAATATTAGGAAGAAGAATTAAATATGTTAATCAAATTGCTGGTCTAAGGAGAGGAAAAACACACCTTAAGGGCTGTTTTGCCCCTATGGGCTGCATTTGGTTGGGAGGACTGGAAAAAACATTTTTGATCACGTTTCCCATGGGGAGGCATGGTTGGCGAGACGTGGTGAGAGGATAAAAAAGAGCGATTGCGGGGAGAGAGAAGAAAATAGAAGGAGAGGGGGATTGAAGAAGGAGAGAAGAGAGGGGGTGGCAGCAGAGAGAGATAGAGGAGATGGATAGAAAGAATTGTGCGGTCAGAGAGATAGATAGAGAGAGAAAAGTTTGGAGAGAGTTGGGAGAGACAAGAGATTGAATAAATGGCAACTAATCAGCAATTAGTTTGGCCCTCATTCTTCCTTCCTCTGTCCAAAGCAATGGCTGTCTTGGGTGGGGAAGCATTCTGAGAGCACCAAACGCGCATGGAAAAAGAGCCGCCCAGAGATTCCGTGAATATCCTTTCATGTGTAATCCCTGAGCGAGAAGGGCTTGCACAACCTGAACATAGGATTTTCAGAGATTACTAACATGGGAAATGAGAAAGCAATATACCCTTAGATGGAATTCCACCCTTGATCAGATCTCCTACTAGGAATCTAGAGTAATGGAGCTCCTAGGTGAGATTCTGTCCTTGGGTGGAACTCCTATAAGAACTTCCCCTGAAGGAAGGACTTTACAGCTGTCTATTGTTTACGATAATGTTCAAACACGCCTATGTGTAATTGCTACTCTTCAACCCTTCATGATTTCTCTGAAATTAGTGCTGTGAAATTTGTGTAAATGGCCACCGATTACTAACCAGCCTGGTGGCTCCATTCTTTAATCCATCATTGTCTGGCCAGGGGAACATTGATCAACCCCAAATGTAGCAGAGGAACTTCAGGTCACTGCAGGCTGGTGACCCAGAACAATAACAGCTTAGGTGTTACCCCTGGAATACTTAGGGGACCAAATGTGGTAGTGGACTCAAACAGGGATGGTATAACATGCAATGTAAGATCTTTACCTACTGTACTCTGTCCAGCCTTGATATTACATTTTATAATAAAATTTACATTTAGTCTCTGCCCTGCTCTTGGCACATAACTCCTAAAACCCTCATAATTTCTTAAATAATAAAAATATTGGGATAATTTTTGTTTTCATTTGGTCTTTTGTCCTCATGTAACTCATACAACTCCAGAATGAAACATGAAAGAAGTGTTATTTATAACAAGCCCCTTTAAATCACAACAGAGTTTTGTTTGTTTCGGGGCTATACCACGAGTTGTTCAGGAGTTACTCATGGTTCTGTGTGTTTAAGGATCACTCCTGGTTGGGCATAGGGAACCATCATATGATGTGGCTCCCTAACCCAGGTCATCTGTAGAAAATGCAAGAACCTAATAAGTTGCATTATCTCTCCAGTCTATGACAGAGTTTTTGTTAATGAAGAGACTATTAGAAAATTAATAACGATAGGGACTAGCTGCCAAGGGAACCAAGTATGTAACTTTCATTCCTTCCCTTCCCGTCTCAAAGGATGAGTGAGGAACTGAAGAATGAAATAATCACCATCAAGCAATGATTTAATCCAGTGATTATACCTTTTTACACTTGTGGGCAGGCTTGTACTCTACATTTATAAACAAGGCAGCTGACCGGTGGTTTGTAATGTTTATGAACCTGCAGATAGGCAGCTAAAAACCACTTATTTAATCAACGATAACTACAGTAATGAGGCCAACATTAAAATACCTAAACTAGAAGAGTTAGAGAACAGGAAGAAGTTTTTAAGCTTGTGAACATACCAAGCATAAGGAAAGTGATACCCTTGAGTGGGCATATAAGTTCCATATCCCTTCCCCTTCTTTTTTTATTTTTTAACTTTTTTTATTGGTGAAACACCATGGAGTACAGTTGTAGACTTACAAACCTTCATGCTTGGGATTCAGTTATACAATGATCGAGGACCCATCCCATCCCTTCCCCTTCTAAAGCCTTCCCATCTGGGTTATATTTATTTAGTTATATCTTTTTATAAAAAAAACAACAATCTAGTAAGTAATTTTTTCCTGAGTTCTATCAACTGCTGTAGCAAATGAATCAAATCTAAAGGGATAGTCATAGGGACCTTTGATTTATAATAGGTCAGAGCACATGGACTTATTATGACTTGCATTTGAAGGTAGGACGACTGCTATCTTTGAAATTTTCAATCATTAAAAGTTTTCAATGAACCAGTGACAAGATCTGAAGAGCACTGTTTTATTAATGTGACAATTGAAAAATTTAGTATCATCTTTCATTAAGTTGAATGCATGAGGTGAGACTAATTACAATGCTCTAGATTCTTCAGTGTTTCTCAAGCCCAGTGAGTAGCATTGATCTTTGGGCAGGATTAACCTACTCTATGTTAAGCTATCCTGGATTTTATTTGATTTTTATCTGCATCCCTGTCATATACCCATTAGGTGACAGCAGCATTATGCTCACCCAAACTTGTGACAATTAAAAATGTCTCTGAAATTGCCAAGGCATTTCTGGGAAGAAACATCACCCTGGTGGAGAGTAACTAGACTAATTATGCCTTTATATCCTAGCATAACACTGTAAACAAACTGTTATGAATATCTAAATAAAGTAAAACAAAAGCTTTCAGTAATTAAAATGTCACCAATCTTAAGTTAGCTACGAATCAAATACTTATTTCTATAAAACCCAGGGCAAACATATTTGCAATAAAAGAAAAAAGAGTTCTTACTTTTCTCTTAATTTTTGAAGTTCCACCTTCAAGTCCTCATCCTCTATTTCTGACTCATCATCACTGCTCATTGGGGAAGATGGTGAATAAAAGAGTGAGCTCTGTGTTTGAGTATAGGCTTGTTCTTCATGAAGTGGTAAGCACTGATCACTTTCTGGACAAGTCCTTGCCACTGACTTCCCTCTGGTAGCAAAAGGGGCTGAAAATTCACTATCAGAGCTATGCTGTTTCCCAGTGGTAAGTATCTCTCTATCGTTAAACAACAGTTCAGGTCCAGACTGCACGCTACTTCTTATGGTTGAATTTTCTTCTAATTCCTTCTCTGGAGTCACTGATGATGCATCAGTCTCACAAGGTGTACTAAAAGTTAAGAGTTTTTCACCATGTTTGCGAACTCTTTTATCTTCTTTGAAGGTTTTATGACGAGTCTGTATCTTCTGAGCAGAAAATGAAGTTTGTGGGTTGATTGTGGTAGGTTCCATTTCTATCAAATGAGACTTTCCTGTTTCTGGAAAGGGTAGAACTTCTTCACAAGAATGGCTTGTGATTTCACTAAGTGCTGGTATGTGCTCAATTTCAAAAGAACTCACTTTCAGTGGCTGCTGCTGAGGAACTGTAATCACCTGAGACATAAAAAGGTAAAAATGGCTGGCTCTGCCTAACCAAAGAGTAAACCCATAAAGAAAGTCAGTATCAATATATGGCACAAACAGATGTGATGAACAGACTCAATGAAACTAAAAATTAAAAGTCACATCTATACTACCCCTATTCAAAGTCTTTCCATTGGATTCCTCAGATATAGAGAAATGGCTTTATATTGCTCAAATCAAATTCCACAACTGAAAAAAACCTGTAATTAAAGTTGGCAAGATTCCAAAGGACATGAAATTCGATTTATAAAGAAGGTGATTCAAATCATCACTAATATATGTTGACCCATATCTTTCTTTCAAGTGCTAAAATTCCCATTTTTTTCAGACTTACCTTTAAAGAATAGCTTTAAATGGTGGTGATACATATAAAAAGAATAAATTACTTATGATAGTGATCTACTTTCATAGTAAGTATCACCCACAGGCCAAGGTGTTCTCCTTTACAATGTTCTTGTAAATAAGAATTCAACCAAGGACACAAACCTGGAAGCGACCCCGCTGAAATGATCCACTCATCACTTTATATTTAGTAAAAGCCCTATTATCAGCTACGGATTCTTCAGTAAGAAGAACGGGATCAGGTGCAGGAACTGGTCTTCTATCTCCCATTTCCACTGCAAGTTTTGCCAAATTGTAAGCAGAAAAGAGAAAATTGTTAAGAGTAAATTTATTTACATTATCAAAAATGAAGAAGAAAAAGCTTAACTCCTGATAGATAATAAAAATTAATGTAATAAGCAACACTATAAAAGTTCCTAACTATAAATAAGACATTGCAAAATTTCTCCAAAGACACAGCATCTATATGAAATGAGTAACTGTAAAACCATATTAGTTACTGAAAAAAATAAAAAGGCAATGACATTAACATTACATATTACATACAAAAGCTAAGTGGAAAAAGTGGCAGAGTTTGTGTATGAAAAAACAGAAAAAAATGAAAAATGATGTTACCTAGTCTATGTCCCTAACTGTAAGCACACTACCTTGATGAACTTTTGATCTCTTGAAAAAGCTGGTTGACTGCCGTAGCCTGTATGCCCAGCTTTTTAATTTGCGAGTCCAGGATTTCTTGCTAATAGGATTTTTGAGACTAGGACAAGTAAAGCTTAGGCCAAAATATCCACCTCCTGTCTGCAGATGAATGGCTCCTACGCTTGACATATCAGCAGTATAAGCCTCTGGATCCCCTGGAAGTGATGCATCTGGGGACATCTCCTAAAGAGAGACAAAAAGAGCAAAATATTAATACTTTTGAGAAGGCTGAGCAGTTGTTCATACCAATGAAGTTTCTCCTACAGACTAATTGCTAAAAAGAGATGAACATTATGTATATCTGAATATTAGTAGCATATCAATGAGAATATAAATTTGTCTGGCTTCTAAACAGAATGGAGATTTCTCAAAAAAAGTAGAATCTGAACAATAGTTTATTTTTCAATATCCCACTTTGAACTAGTAATAATACTACTGTTGTGAAGAGAATATAAAATTTTAATAATAACAATAGAAAATATTGCATTAGTCCAACTGAAATTCAAGAAACAATTTTAATAAGTAAAACTGAATCAAGATGATAAAATAAAAAAAATTTCTAGTCCCCCATACCAATTTGAATCCATAAACATGACAGGAAAAGCAGATACACACAATAGACACAAAATAAAAGAAGAAAAAAACTCTATGGCATATGCAGAGACCATTGCAAAATACTGCAAGATTAGGTGGTCAATATAAAAAGGTAGAGAAAGGACAAGCAGAATGCTGACAAAAATCAGACAATCAGTCTCTTCAGTATCATCTCTTAATTAAGCATCTTTTAATTAAGAAGTCTCTTAATTAAACACCTTATTTCAAAAGCCAATCCCTGAGATGTGAGTCAATCTAAAGCCAAAGTAATACCCTAGTCTTTCGATCATATTCGGATATAACAGAATCATTTGTTTGGGGTCTTTCTCCACTAGAATGTATAATCCACAAAAACAGATATCTAGATTTATTTATTACCCAGTAGATGTCCATTTAATGGAAGAACAAACTCACTGAAGTTCCAAAGCAATAGGCAGGTAGTTTTGCCCTTTCTTTTCTACAGCAAGCAAAAGGCCACAAGAGGCATATTTTCTAAATAAGAGTGATAGAAAAAAAATTTATAGTGAAGAAAATATGATCAATAGAGGAAAGAAACAATTTTCGAGAAGAAGGGGAAGCACTTCGATTTTTGAAGAATAGCTAAAGGGTCAACATCTAAGCAACACCTCAGACAGGTTGCTATATCCAGAGTTAGGAAAAATTTTCTCACAAAAGAAGGCAACAATAATTACAAGAGACAAGGAGGCAACAATAATTATAAGAGACAGTCGAGCTGAAAATCTTTTGTTTTGTTTTGTTTTGTTTTGGGGAAACACCTGGTGATGCGCAGGGGTTACTCATGGCTCTGCACTCAGGAATTACCCCTGGCAGTGATCAGGGGACCATATGGGACGATTGGAATCAAACCCCGGTTGGTCATGTGCAAGGCAAACACACTACCCGCTGTGCCATTGCTCCAGCCCACGAGCTAAAAATCTTATGGAAAAAAATTAAAATCTTATGGAGAGGAAAAAAAAGGATGAGCACATTAAGAATTGACAAAAACTAGTAGGAAATGAGCACTATTAAGAAACATTAAACTCAACAAAGAAAAACAGCCAAGTAGATAGCTTTACAAATATATAAAGGCTAGGGTAGAACTTAGTGGTAGAACTCAGCCTTGGAATTTTGAGATCCCTGGGTTTGATCTTTGGTCCTGCATGCATAAATAAACATGTATGTGTGTACACACACCTATCTATGTCAATATTCATATCTATATAAATATATCAAAACATTTAGGGAGACAAGGGATAGCACAGTAGCAGTGTACCTAGTTTACAGTTGACAGGCTTCATAAATTCAATCCCTAGCATCAACACAGTGAATGATACAGTAGGGATCACTGAGGTCATAACAAAGTGTACAATCTCTCTAGGGCCAGAGCAATAGTACAGGGGGTAAGGTGCTTGTATTACATACAACCTACCCAGATTCAATTCCTGGCATTCCAGATGGTCCCCCAGGTGCACAATACAGAGCCAGGAATAAGGCCTGAGCACTGACTGATGTCATTCCCCACCCCACCCCACCCCTTCCCCATAAAAGCATGTAACATTTTCAGTCACTTGCTTTGCATGCAGCCAATCAGACTTCAATCCCCAGCATCCCACGTGATTCTCTAAGCACCACCAGGAGTGACTCCCAAGTGCAGAACCAAGAGTAACACCCCTGCATCGCCAGATGTGACTCCAAAATAAACAAACAAAAAAATCCTAAGTGTACAATCTACGGAATAATACAACTAGGTGTGTGTACACAACCCTTAGTGTGCAACATTCAGTGATCATGGTAACTGTGTTATTACTGCAACTGATGTTAACAAAAATCTCACAATAAAAAGTGTGCATAGTGCAATGAGCACTACAATTGAAGTATGCAATCCAAAGCTGGCACTATAACTGAGATGTTCAAATAAATACTGCAACCAATTGTGCTACTGGCAAAAATCCAAAACCAAGTATGTGATTCAGTGATAATCACAGTAACAATAACAAAATATAGGAAAGCAGAAAGTAAACATATAACACATATATTAATTAAATGTATAGTAAGAATTTATTGTCATCAGAGACAATTATAAATATATTACCTCCACAAAAAGAATGAGGTAGTTAAAAGAAATTAAATGTATAATTATTGTGAATTTAAAAACACTCACCTGAAAAGAAGATGGAAACTGGATAATAACTAAAAAAATTCTCAACATCGTGAAAATGTCAATACTCGCAAAAGCATTATACAGATTCAACGCGTTCCCTATAAGGATACCCATGAAATTCTTCAAAGAAAAAGATCAAGCACTCCTGAAATTCATATGGAAGAACAAACACCCACGAAGAGCTAAAGCAATTCTTGGGAAAAAGACATGGGTAGGCATTAGCCCCCCCCCACCTCAAACTCTACTACAAAGCGGTAATAATTAAGACAGCATGGTACTGGAACAAAGCCAGAGCCGCAGACCAATGGAACAGGGTGGAATATCTCTACATACAATCCCAAATGTATGAACATCTAATCTATGATAAGGGAGTAAGAAATGTGAAGTGGAACAAGGAAATCCTCTTGAACAAATGGTGCTGGCATAAATGGACAACCAAATGCAAAAAAAAAAATGGACTTAGACCTCGAATTAACACCATGCACAAAAGTTAGATCAAAATGGATTAAAGATCTCAACATCAGGCCAAAATTCATAAGATACATTGAAGACGAGGTCGGCAAAACCCTCCAGGATATTGAGGCTAATGGTATATTCGAAGACAAAACTCCACTGACAAAACAAGTAGAAACAGAGATAAACAAATGGGACTATCTTAAATTAAGAAGCTTCTGCACCTCAAAAGATACAATAACCAGAATACAAAGACAATAGACAGAATGGGAAAGGATATTTACCCAATACCCATTTGATAAAGGGTTGATATCAAGGATATACAAAGCACTGGTTGAACTCTACAGGAAGAAAACATCTAACCCCATCAAAAAATGGGGTGATGAAATGAAATGAAACTTTCCCCAAAAAGAAATCTGAATGACTAAAAGGCATATGAGAAAATGCTCTACATCACTAATCATCAGGGAGATGCAAATCAAAACAACGAGATATCATCTCACACCACAGAGACTGGCCCACATCCAAAAGAACAAAAGCAACCAGTGTTGGTAAGGATGTGGCGAGAAAGGGATTTCCTTCACTGCTGATGGAATGCCAACTGGTTGAGACCTTTTGGAAAACAGTATGGACGATTCCCAAAAAATTAGAAATTGAGCTCCCATTTGACCCACCAATACCACTACTGGGAATATATCCTGGAGAGGTAAAACAGTACAGTCAAAATGACATCTGCACTTCCATGTTCATTGCTTCACTATTCACAATAGCCAAAATCTGGAAAAAAAAAAGAGTACCCGAGAACAGAAGACTGGTTAAAGAAATTTTGGTACATCTACACAATGGAGTACTATGCAACATTTAGAAAAGATGAAGTCATGAAATTTACATACGAGTGGTACTACATGGAAAGTATCATGCTAAGCGAAATGAGTCAGAAAGAGAGGGACTGACATAGAAAGATTGCATTCATCTGGGTAGTATTAAAAAAAAGTAACAAATTGGGAGACTAACACCCAAGAATAGCCGAGATAAGTACCAGAAGGTTCAGACTATGGCTTGGAGGCCAGACGCACATGCTGGGGGAGAAGGCAGCTCAGACAGAGAGGGGAGCACCAAGTAAAGGGTGTTCGGAGGATGCTCCCAGAATAAGAAATGCATGCTGAAAATAGACTATAGACCAAACATGATTGCCACTCAATGTGTCTTTTGCAAATAACAGCACCCCAAAGGAGAGAGAGAACAAAAGGGAATGCCCTGTCACAGAGGCAGGGTGGGATGGGGGTGATGGGAGTGGGAGGGATACTGGGATCATTGGTGGTGGAGAATGGGCACTGGTGGAGAGATGGGTACTCGATCATTGTATAACTGAAACCCAAGCACAAAAATTTGTAAGTGTACAAATGTACCTCATGGTGTTTCACTAATAAAAATTTTAAAAAGACAGAAAGAAAATACCTGGCTAGTCCCAAAGTAAGGGTCAGTGAATATTTATTGTTCAATAGAATAGTTGAATAAAAATTTTTAAAAAATAAAGTTTGGGTCTCAAATTGAAAAAAAATTCTCCCAGTACAAAAGAAATCAAAGAGATTAAAAACATAAATAAGTTAATGTGAAAACCAGGAAGTAAAGAAATAAAATTATTCAAGGAAGAAATGATTTTTTATATAGTAGCAAATACAAAAGATACACTAGAAGTTATCAGAATAGGAAACTTGAAGAATACGATATCTACACTCAAGAATCTGTTATACTTCTCTAAATAGCAATGAAAATTCCAAAAGAAAAATCAAGAAATCATAGTTAAGAATTTCCAAAAGTTGAAAAATACAGTCAATCTAATATAAGAGGCCTGAAGGGTTCCAGCAAAAATATTCTCAATTAGGAAAATTCCAAGATACAATGTACTCAGAATGACAAAAATCAAAGACAGAGACAGAATAGTAAAAACAGCAAGATAGAAAAAAGGAAGGAA